CCAGTGGAGCCAATATCCGATGCTACCACTTGCCTCTGCGTTGGGCAACAGAGCAAGACTCGCATCTCAAGAAAAAAAAAAAGAAAGAAAGAAGAGAAAGAGAAGAAGAGAAAGAAGAAGGAAACGAGAAAGAAGAAAAGCAGAAAGAAGAAAAGAGACGAAGAAAGGCTCTGAAACGAACATCGTGACGACATGTGACTTGCTCAGGGTGACACAGCTCGTAAGCAGCAGAGCAGGGATAGAACTCAGGGTCTTTCTCCAGAACTCAGCCTGAGCATTACAGAGAAAAGTGTGAGACACAGAGTCTCAAAAGTGCAGGCTCCTGAGCCCCACTTCTGACCTGCTGAGTTCAGGCTTCAGACGTGGGGGTTGCCCCTTCAAGCTGCACCACCCTCCCACCCCCGCCCCAGCCTCCTTCTTGCTCCGCTTCCTCAGTCCACCCTACACTGCCTCCGAATTAGGGGATTTGTTGCCTGGCCAAAGTTTTGGAGCCCACTGCACTGGACCACCGGCTCCCACCCCCCAAGGTTCTCAGGCCCTGAGCGTCTCACCCTCTGGTCTTTGCCTTTGAGTCCCCTGTGTCCTCTGTACATTCCCCAAAAGGGTGAGGCCAGACAGAAAAACACAGAAATGAATGGCCGGGAATTTCCAGCTTGAGGCTGAATAACAGGTGCCCGGAAGGCATGGTGTATGTGTGTGTATTGTGTGTATGTGTGTAGTGTGTGTGTGTGCATTATGTGTATGTGTGTAGTATGTGTGCATATGTGTAATATGTTTGTATATGTGTGTATGTGTATTGTATGTGTGTAGTATGTGTGTATTTGTGTGTAGTGTATGTGTGTAGTATGTGTGTATATGTGTTTAGCGTATGTATGTGGTATGTTTGTATATGTGGGTATGTGTATTGTGTGAATGTGTGTAGTGTATCTGTGCATTGTGTATATGTGTGTAGTATGTGTATATGTGTGTAAGTGTATTGTCTGCATGTGTGTAGTGTATGTATGCATTTGTTTATGCATATGTGTATAAGTGTATGTGTGTGCTGTGCATATGTGTGCATTGTATATATGTGTAGTGTGTATATGTGTGTAGTGTATGTATGCATTTGTTTATGCATATGTGTGTAAGTGTATGTGTGTGCTGTGCATATGTGTGCATTGTACATATGTGTAGTGTGTATATGTGTGTAGTGTATGCATGTATGTGTTTGTGTATGTGTGTATGTGTGTACTATGCATGTATGTGCATTGTGTGTATGTGTGTAGTGTGTGTATGCATGTTTATGTGTATGTGTGTACACATGTGTATGTGTGTACTGTACGTGTGTGCATTATGTGTGTATGTAGTATATATGTGTGTATCCATGTAGTGTATGTGTGCATGTGTTATGTGTGTGTATGCATGTGTACGTGTGTATGGTGCATGTGTGTGCATTGTGCATATGTGTAGTGTATGTTTGTATGAGTGTGTGTAGTTTGTATATGCGTGTGTTTATGCATATGTGTGTATATGTGTGTTCTGTGTGTATATGTGTGTGTGCTCTGCGCGTGTGTGTCTGTGTGTGCACACATGCCCAGCTCCTCCCAGATGTACACAAGTACATAAGCCCTCAGGAGACCATCCATGCTCTGTTCTTTTCTGCTCAGTCATGTGCTTTCCTGGATAAATGATTCAGCTGCAAAGACTTAAGAAAAGATCTACTGCCAGGCTGGCTTTCCTGAACTGGCAGCAAAGTTC